TTTAGAATATTATTAAGAAAATTTTCTACCTCTAATAATATTATCAAACATTGAAAGTCTTTTTTAAGATCATTATACTAAATATATTGTATCTCACTATCTATTTATTAAAAAAAAAAAAAAATAAAATAAAATAAAATGCTATTTTTGAAGATCTTTATTTCTCTTACGTCACCTTGAAGGTTGTCACAATTTCAATGCTTTGTTTTGTTACTCAACAAATAATAGTTCTTACATTGATTCTAATAGTAGTTGATTTTTCATCTTATTAGTATCTTAAATATATAAAAACCACAAATGAAGATAGATGATAGAATAAAATATTTAATATTTTTTTTCTTTATAACAAAAAATTACTTGACTTTTATCTTAATTTTGATAGATGTTAATAATGAAAAAAATCAATTTTTTTTATTTGAATTTGTAAGATTTTTGATTGGCTTTCATATGCATTTACTAATATCATATTTGCACCAATGTACAAGATATTTTAATTTATTTTAATGCTATCTTTAGTCTAAGACTTCTTTTATTTTAAACTTTTAATTATTATCCAATTTTCAAAGAAGATGTGGCATTTGCCTTCTTTTGAATATATCTACTATCTTATATGGCTTAAAAAGAGACATGTAGAATAAAAGATGGATTTTTATAGATTTAATAGATATAATCAATAAGTAAGTAGTTTAATTTGTTTATAAATAAAAAATAGTCTAATTCTATATTAATCCAATTTGTGGCAAAGATAACTAATGCCAATATTATGACAAAATAATCATATTTTTTTGCCAAGGTGGAATTAAAGTTGTTCCTTGCAATTAGCATCTACATTCAATTTTTGTTGTTCTAGTACTTTCATTAATTGTATCTTTATTATTACATGTAGTTTCGATAAATGATTAGCTAAATCTTTTGTTGCAAGATTATGAACTTTTGAAAGTAAAAAATATCAAATCATAAATGAAAACCATAATTAACAAAAGAAGGTATTTATTGAATAATAAAATATATTGTGTTATTATAAGAAATTTTTTCCAACTATAAAAAAATTATTCAATCATCTTTATAGTAGTTATAAGTACATCTCAAATACTACTTTAAAACTTAATTCATTAGTTTTTTTTATCTATTAATTTTAGAATAAAAAACAAAAGATAGTTTTATATCTATTTTTAATATCTTAAAAAGAATTTTTTAAAATCTTAATATAAATTAAGTTCTTTTATTTAATTGAATACCCTTTAACAATCTACAATGCCAATAAATATTGTGAAAGAAAAATTTATTTTTTTCTTCATATATAATAGTTTTTGTACATATTATAAAATGTGCCATCTTTGTGAAAGAATCTATTATGAAAAATAGAGAGTCATATGAATTTGAGATTAAAAAATCCATGATAAAATCGATAAAAATAGATGACTATGGTTAAAAAAGTTTATAAAGTCAATGACAAAGAATTTTTTATTTTAAACATACATTATATGATTGTACAAAGTCTTTAAAAAAATTAAATTAAAAATTGAATTAAAAATCTCAATAATTTAATTAAAAATTTAATTAAAATTTTTTATAAAGTCAATGACAAAGAATTTTTTATTTTAAACTACCTTCCACATTTGAAGATACTTTAAATCTCTAGATATCAATCCTAAGATCTTGTTGTATCAAAAATGTCATACATTTGGAAAGCCATAATAAGCTTAAAAAATACATAGTTGTACTTTATCTTTTCAAATAAATAAGAATCTATTATAATAATAAAGATTGTTCTTGTATTCAAACTTAGAAGTGTCATAAGATTTAAAAGAATTATTTTAATATTACAAATAAAAAGATCTAAGTAAATTCATAATTTAACTTGCATAAAAAAATTAAATTAGTAATCAATATTGATTTTAAAACTCTAAGATAAAATTTCTCTAGCTTCAAAAAAATCGTCATTAATAAAAAATTACATTTATATCTTTTGATGTAAGATTAAACAGTCTAAAAAATAAGATATCTGACAAAATTTGTTGATTATTTAATTAATACTTGATTTAAAATTAAATCTTAATAAAAACATATTTCAATAGACTTAAAAATAATTTAAAATATCTATTAAGTAAAAATACCTAAGGTTCTTGTAATTTTTATAAATAGTCACTAGACCACAAGCACCTTTTAGATAGTGGCACCATTCTTGAAATGAATTTATAATCATAAAAAATTAATTTTCATAGATCTTATAATTGAAATTGATTGCTAAATTTTTCTTGAATAAAAAACTATTAAGTGAAGCTTGATATATGCTTTTTTTTGTGATAATACCACACTTGAGGCAAAATCTAATTCATTTTTTTCAATAAAAAAAAACACTTAAAAAAAGTTGACACAATATAAGATTAATACAAAAATAAATTTTATTTTTAAAACTTAAAATGATACTTTAGTCTCTTTATTCTACTAAGATTTGTCTTACATGCCAAACATATAAGTAGAGTTGAAATTTGAGAATTTTTTTGATAAGATCCAATAATAATTGATAAATATCAAAAAATATTGATAATCTCTTACTATTATTGAAATCTTCTAATCCATAATAGTCTATTTTTTAGAAAAATTAATCATGAGACCACCATTTAAATTGATATATTCTAAGAAGTCAATTTGAATTGTGAAATAAATACTTTTTTATTTTGGCATGTGATCTTATATTTTTAATTTTTTTTAATACACAAAAAATATAAATTTTATGCTCTTTTATATTCTTAGAATAGATGAATACGTTATTTAGATAATAGACAAAAAATTAATCTAAAAATTATCAAAAAACAACATTTATTAGGTGTTAAAAAGTAGCAAGTGTATTTGTGAATCCAAAATGTCCAATAGTTTATTCAAAATGTCCATACTTGGTTCAAAATATAGTTTGTCATTTATTTCTTCTTTTTATGCATACTATATTGTATATTCTTTATAGATTTATTTTTGTATAAATCTTTTTTTTATTCAGTTGATAAAAAAAATTAATATAAAAAATAAAAGATATCTATTTTTAATAATAATCTTATTGAATCTTTAATAATTCATACAAATCCACACCAATCTGTTCTTTTTCTTCACTAAATTTATCTTAAAGTATAAATTAGGTCAAATAGCAATTGAGTTCTTTTTTGAAGATCAATTGAATAATCATAACAACAATGCTTTGAATAAATATATATATTTTCCTTCTCAGAAACGTCTACAAAAACTTGATATTAACTCAAAATGTTGCTTGAAGTCTTTTCACTATCAAAAATAGATGTATCATTAATAACAAAACATGTTCCTTTTTTTACAATGTACATAAAAGTTCTTGCACCTACAAATAAGAATTTGGTTGTATTCAACTTATAATATTTTATTTTAATAATAAAAGTTTAAATTATGCTATTGGAGATATCAAGATTATAAGAAATTTAGTTTATTCTAGGATTATACTTTTATAGCTACAATAAAAATAAAATAACTAAATTAAAAATGTATTTAATAATATCAAGTATTACTAAGCTGTTATGACTATTACTTGTTATATCTATAGAAATAGTCTTATAGATAACATCTTCTAAAGATAACAAAGAACTATCTATGACTTCCACATGTAAGAGCTTTATTTTCTTAATTAAAGATATATATATATATATATATATATATATTAACAAAGTCTTCCTCTCTAAAACAAGCTAAGGTTCCTAAATCTTATAAGGCACATGTAGCAACACATCAAAAAAGATTCATTTGATTTTTATAACTTTATCTAAATTTTGACTCAATATATATATGTATGTGTGTATATATACATACATATATATAATATCTTTTAAAAATTTTAAAAATTAAAATATTACATCATTTTATAACTATTTTATTAAAAATAATACTTTAATAAGTAATACAAATATAAAATCCATAGTCCCAAAAATCACATATTTATTGTGCTTATCCATCAGATTTTACGGGAAAAATATATATATATATATATATATAATTTATATTTGAAACAAGAAAACTTAACATGTAAAGAAATCAATGATTGTATTAATATTGTTGAATTCTTAAATGCATTTTAAAAATGAACAAGTATAGTTTCAATAGAACAAAATATGTTAAATGTGTACAAAACAGTAACACAACAATTAAGAAATATAAATAAGAAAAAACTACTCAATCTCTTTAACATTAGTGTTTTGAAGCTTTATTAAATATAATAGAATAGAATAGCATAGCAGATATTCTTCTAGTTTCAAAAAATTAAGTTTCTTAATACATATTTATTCTCATCTGTAAAATTACGATCACACATGATGGAACACACACAGGTTTTACCTGCACTGTGTCATAGAAAACATTTTTCTCTTCAATTGTTCAAACCCAATGGAAAACACGGAACACAGGGAAAAATCAATAAAAAATTGCACAGAGGGAAAGTTCGTGCTATCCCAAACAAGAAAAAAATAAAATAAAATAAAATAAATTAAAGAGGAACAATAATTTGAGATTGTGAAAGCAAAATAATTTTATCACAAAATGTGCGTGCAGACAACGGGTTTGAATCGTCTTCTGTGCATCGAATGGTTTTTTTCTAAACTGCCACGCTGCTTCCAAGCGGCTTCGAGGAACCACCACTAATTCACGGTAGTAGGTGGGACACGGTGCGGCACCTTTTTTCCCCCAACGTGCGTTGCGGTGACCGTGATCGTGGCCTCGAGGGAGAAGCATTCTGCGGGTGTTGGTGCGTGTGCGTGTGCGTTTGATGCGTGCTTTCCGTAAGGCCCACTAAATTTGTCGCTGATCGGTACCCTGGCCCAGTCGGATGGCCCCGATCCCAAGCCCAAGCTCGTGTTGAAGGTGCTTTGCAGGAATGGTACTGTTCATGCGACGACAATGGAAAGTGTTCAGGAAGCTGCATAGTGTGGTATCTCCGTGACCTGGGGTTTGTTGTTGACAAGGCGAGTTTCTCGGATTGTGTGAGTTTTGTGGCCGGGTTTGTTGTTCCTGTAGTCGTGTTTGGGAAGGTGGATTTATCCTTGCGGCACGTTACGCGTTGTGGATGAGTTAGTGTTGATATTTTTTTGAGAAGAAACTTTTGCATCTTTCCACAACGTTGACGGATTGAACGCCATTGGTTGCTTGCAAAACTTGGCTGAATTGTGCCATGCCTGATTGTTTGTGTGTTTGGATGGCTGCGCCTGGATGCAGCTATTGTGCAGCGCGCGTGGTTCTTTGAGGGGTGGGGTGGTTGTGGAAGAGGATGCTCTGTTCGGGAAGGTGATCGTTGAAACGCTCTGCGTGAAGATAGGTTACGGCGAGTTGTGACAGGGATTAGTGTTTTTCGTACAGTTGGGTTGTGTTTCTTTCCTGTCTCTCTCCTTTTGAAAAATAATTCAAGTAAGCGATATCAACATGGACCAGCGAGAGATATTGGTGACGGTGATTTCGGCCCAGGATCTGAAGAAGGTGAACACCTTTGGGAAGATGACGGTGTACTGCGTGGCATGGATATACCCCTCCGTGAAGGTGTCATCGCCGATGGATAAGAATGGTAATGCGAGCCCTACTTGGAATGCTACGCTTAGGCTCATAGCCGAGGAGCGTCTCGTGCAGGATGGTAATGCGGTTCTTGTGATAGACCTTTACGACCATGGAACTTTCGGCAACAAGCATGTTGGTTCGTGCACGATTCCCTTGCAAAGCCTGGCGAAAGCCATCAAACCTACGGAGGTCGAAAAAGATAAGGACAAAGCAGACAAGGTCCCAGCAGATGAGGCGAATGCTTCAGAGGGAAGCTCCTCAAACAGCGCCAACTTCATGTCTGTGCCGGTAAAGACCCGCTCTCTCTTTCCTCTTCTTTGTTCTTCCACGTCCGTATTCTGTTGCTTCAGTGGTTTTACTGGGCGTAATCAACTACGGATATCAGTGCATTTCATTATGCATTCTTTCCCATCGTTCATCGTGCCGAAGTAAAGCGGGTTTGGCTGGACCAACCACTGCTTGTTTTAACAAAAGAGTGCAACGTGTATTCTGATGTGATCCTATCATAGCAACACTTCAATTTATGCTTCAGCTAGCATCTGTTGAGCAGGTTTTAATTTCAGGCTTGATTTTACGTTTATTATGTTTGGAACACCTACTTCGTGAGTTGAATCGATATTTGATTGCTACTTTCTGTGTCCCGAAGTAAAAGATAACTTATTTTGGAGCACCTCGTACTTTTCTGTTTTTCACAGGTGTTGAGGAAGTCTGGGAAAGCAAAAGGTACCTTGAATGTATCCATCAAACTGGGAGAGCTGATCAAATACCCACAGCAACCAATGGGAGCAGCTGCGCCACCTTACATGATGGGGATGCCCGTGCCTGGTGGTAATGGTAAAGATGCTCCTGCGTATGCATACCCAGCTCCTGGCTATCCTCCTGCTTATGGCCAACCGGGTGCTGCCCAGCCTTATCCAATGTACCAACAGGGCCCTATGTATCAAACACCTCCTGGCGGTATGCCTCCACCATATTATCCACCGGGTGCGTATGGTCAACCTCCTCCACGCAGAAGTAGCGGCATGGGTGGTGGACTGGGAGCTGGTCTAGTGGGCGGTGCTCTTGGAGGGTTGCTAATTGGCTCAATGCTCAGTGATGGTGGTGGCTGTGGTGGAGGCTGCGGTGGTGGCTGTGGAGGCTAAGAGTTTTGGTTTGTTGCGACCAGCGCCTTTTGGCATATGAACTACATTTATTTTCTGGATACTTTTACTGTTTCATATGTTATTTTCATCAAGCAGGTTCAGGTACGACATTAGAGTAGGAAGTTAAGCTGAGTAATTGTACTTGCAATAAGAGTTTTAGTTACTAAAACCATGCTCTGCTCAGTATTTCAGTAGAATCCCAATTAATAGCTTTGTTGCTGACGATAGTCAGACTCTATTGGTTGCTCAAGGAACTCATAATATTGAGTTTTATGAATGTTATGAATTTAGTACTTTTGTTGCTGATTGTACAGCGGCTGCTGATGTACCCTTCGTTTGCACGTGCGTTTTATATTTTTTTTAAGACCAGATTGAAAATACATCTGTTTCGAGCGGAAAGTAGCCAACATCAACCAACCATATCGAGAATAGCGTTGCACCACTAATGCGTGGGTAGTGGATGGTATTAGTTGATCATGGATTACTAATGCCATAGCTGTTGTTCCACTAATATCTGAACATTCAAATATGTTTTTAGACAGCGGAGCGTGGTGACACTTCAGAGAAGCACCAGCAACATCATTTGCAGGTAATTTGTGAAGGTCTTACGGAAGATATTGCGACGAAGTTGATGGTTCGGTCATCACTCAGAATATTGAAAAGAAATAGTTACAGCATGCAGAAGCACATGCAAGAACCAAAGTACTGAGCATTCCTGATCTCAGGGACTTAGTGAATCCTTTGAGAAAGAAAATTGACTTACTCTGCATCAGGTCAACCGCCGACGGTAATTTCACGTTTGGTAGATGCACGGTGCTCAAAGCATTCCATGATCAAAAAACCCACACAAGTAGAGGCTTACTGAGTATTGTGTCCTTACTGTTAGGGAATCTCTATAGCAGTGTACTTAAAGATTGAGGGACCTTGGGGTCTATGCTAATGCACTAGAATTATGAGCCTCCGAAAAGACTTGCTTTAGTCCCTGAAGAACGGAATAAGGTTTTGACAAAATCGACACTTAAGATCTTCATATCACGCTGCAGTGTACACTAATTTCATTCTAGGGGCTGGCACCTGTTTTGTTCATGTCCGATCCCACCCAGTATGTTTTCACCCCCTTAAGTATCTTTTCACCCCTTAAAGTATCTTTTCACGCACGATAGGCCCATCCTCATGGTCTGCCATGCGAGAATCCCAGCGCAACCATTTGAAATCATCTTCACCTTCTATAAGACATCTAGTTCGTCTCGAATTATTATTGCACCTTCAGTTCGCATAATCCGGTCCACTTCCAGCAAAATATCTTCAATATCGCAACTGAAACACAGCACGAAGGTTTGAGGAGCCGAATATGGCTCCAGCATGGGGATAGAAATCAGATTCAACAGATATCCTGCAGTAAAACGCCACTTGCATGAATAAGGTCGTATGTTCTTGAATACGTTGAAAATGCTTCGCACCTGAAGTATACCCTCATTTCCATAAATGATTCGCTTTGGTGGAATTTTCGGTTAGAAAATTTTAAATATTGCACATATGCATATTAAGGGAACATAACTGTCGTGGATGAGAACCACCTCTCCACCATTCGTGTAGCTTCTTCAAAGACGTCATGTATATTTTTAGTTTCTAAAAAATAAAAAACGAAACAAAAAGAAAAAAGAGTAATGAAGAAAGTAACACCAACAACAAGGACAACCACGACGACAAGTAATGACGCCCACATCACTCACCGTCACCAAATTTCCAGCAAAAAACATGCAGCCTACTTTCTTCACGCCCAGAGTACATTATAGCCACACTGCAGAGACCAACACCAGAATTCAAACCCTGAGTGAGGGGAACCACCCTCTTCTCCTCCAAAATCCATCATCACCCAGAAATCCTTGCGGTCACGAAATCATTTCATGACGAAACCAAAAACAGAAAACGACGCAGTCACCCCCAAAATTCTATGTTCCTACAGCAGTCTCTGTACTCCGAGAATGGTTTATCATTACTGGGCAACGGGTTGCAGATTGAGTCCATTTAAGAGGACCCGCACAATCGATTCCTGAAGTATGGAGAACCTGACAGCAGCGAGGCAAGCTAACACAGGCTCGTGAGGGAGACGGCGAGTGACAAAGTGGCGGGTGAAGATGACCAAGGACTTAAAATTTCCAAAAGATCACTCAAGTATTCATTCGAATGATGCGGAAATGTATTCATTACCCAAACAGGATCATTTACCAAAGCGGCAGCAAAACCTCCTAGTGCGGCACCTATGTCTATAATATTCCAGTATCTGCCTGAGGCCAACGGAGTTATGAGCTGTGCCTTGTAATAATTCACTCGTTTGGCCCATAGAAGAGCGTCGTCTCTAAAACTTTCAGCAGTCATTCTGGGAACTGAACCACTTGCAATTCGAGGAGGCACAGATGTTAGCGTAGCAGGCCACTTGGAAAGAGTCCCACCAGCAACTTCTTTTGTGTCTCTGACCCCCGGAAGAGGGCTACTAATGCTTGTTTTCATCTTCCGATACCTGCAGAAAACCGAAAGTGTTATGTGTTAACAGAATTGATCTGCTTTGATAACTATTGAATTTTCATCGTAATCTAGGATTCCCTCACGCAGCACTCTGTAGATTGAGTAACATTACAATTCATCTGAATTATCTGTTAAATTTAGCCAGATATTGTTAAGAATTGAGGTCGTCCCTGACGAGCAGAGTTCCGAACGTATTCAACTGGTGCTAGGTGGAGAGGCGTGACCACGTAATTTCAAACTAAGAGAGACCCAAACCGATTAGACTCTGCATTCGAGAGGTTGAGCAAGGCAAGTAAACAATGCTTTGCAAATTAAATCAATTTAATACAGAGAAATCCACAATGGACAACCCGAAGTAAAAAATCCCAGGTAAAGTGAGTTTTTAACTCTGCAACATAATCTGAATTCTTGCAACATAAACTCAGGATCTTTTTGTGTCACCAACATGTACCTCCTCGTGAATAGAACATGTAACAATCGTACAAGGAAGGAGGGTTTCTCACCAGGCAGAGTCAGAGTTTTCAGCCTGGCTGCAGATGTATGGACGGATGCTTGCATTACGCTGTCGCAGCTGTTCATACTTAACTCAAAGACAAACCTCGGAAGGATTCTCTTTGAGTTCTTGGAGTTTCTACTTATTTACAAAGATTTTTAAACAATCAAGTACCTTAGAAATTATCTTTCACGAAAGTCAACGTATAGACCATTTTTAGGAAACAACATTCTATTATTTGGATCTGAGCACGTAAATATTCTTCTCAAGATATTTTTAAAAACAACTAATTCAGCTCGAAGATGAGTTTTGGATAAGTTTTAATAATCTTAAAGATGAAAAATGTCTAAATTGTCACATTTCAAACTAGAAACATTGGTTAACATACCATGTTCGGCTCATGGAATGGAGCATCGGAAGCAGTGAGCCATGTCCAAAGACCGTGCTGGGTAGTGCATGCGATTCTCAGCCATGACGCCAAGGATCGCCGGATCGCCTCTCTCTCTAACGCAATTTGGATTTGTGAAATATTTGTATCCCTTGGTGCGAATGACATAGTTAGTACATTCTTCTTCAGCAAGTATGCGCCTCAGTTTGTGACCTGAAAAACCAGCACTTGAATTATTGTGACGAGAAGTATCAATTTGATCGAAAGAACAACGTAAGACATACGTAAGAAAGTATAAAGAACTGAGAATGCATATGATCTCTCTGAAAACCATGTTGTCTAAAGTACAGAAAAGAAGAAGTTTTTAATAAGTGAAAAATCAAATGATCGAGCAATAGAAACGAGGATGAAGCCCATGGCAACTATACTGCAACTTTGATGGTGAATTTAAGATCTGTAACTAGATCACTAAGCAGAGCAAAATATCAATCCAGGTTCGGCTGGGTCCTTACCTCACATCCAATATCAATTGCTGTTCGAATTGACCCACCGTTGAGGGGAATCAGAGCAGCAATGTCGTTGATATACTCATCAGCACCACCAGCAGAGAAAGTTCCGCCTCCTGGAAAGTATAACTTCTCACCTTGAAACTGCACCCACTTTTGGATCGCTTTCTCTACAGTTAATTCCTTATGAGGAGTTTTGTCAAACCACGTATAGTCTCGGCTTTGGGGCCATGGGAGTGGAGCTTTATATCCAGCCGGAGCAGAAATCAAACATTTTAAGAGTTCGCCTTTTCCAGAACAATGCCGTTCTCTGTATGTCAATTTCTCTCGCGGGTATTTTAACCACAGCTCGGTGTCTTCGCACGGAGTGTACTCGCTGAACTTAATGTCACATGACTGAAAAGTAGTATAGTTCGACCCCAAACCAGAGGGAAATGAGTTATGGTTGCTGTTCTGCCAGGAACCTAAGATGTAGAAATAGCAACACAAGCCAGCAAAACTGACCATCCAAAGGAATCTCTTACGCTTTGCTGTTTCGGCAGTATGAATCTTAGGCGACCCTGGTTCGTTCCCCAGCACACCTGATTAAACGACCAAGAGTGACGGGTCAGTAACCGAAAAGGACTTCATGCATGTTGAGAGGAGCCGTTATATTCCTAGAACACAGAGCAAATACTAACGATACGTTAATTTTATTAGAAACTAGAATTGACTCCGCCCCTGATCTTTCTGTCAAAATTTTCCCCTCTTGAAAGTTCTTAAACATATAATTTACAACTGTTGATGCGTAGATAACCTACTCAAGCAATTGCTACAAGAATGGAATCCGGACCTACATGTTACGTGCATATTTTACCCAAACAATGATCTGCAACTGATCTAGGAGAGACATGCCACCTATCACTACGTGTAAATTCAGTGCCCACTGTACACGCAGAGAAAGTTGTATCATAAGCAAATGTAGTGCTTCGCAGTGAAGGTAAGGAATGATCCCAAAAAGTATAGTTGCTTGAGGGAAGTAAAGCACACGAATTTCAATATCACTTTTCGTCAGGGACTAGTGGACAGTTGTGTGCAGGAGTAAACCATACCCCCCATCGACAGTAATCTACACTGAGGAGGTCTTTACATATCCAATTGAACCCTACGCAAATAGAATTGTGGAAGTTACCCATTAATGTCTTTCACACTGCGACAAGGATTGACTTCAGAAACTAATTTTTATCAATATGTTAGAAAAATATTATAAGTTCTTAATGCATAGATTGCAGCAAAGAAATTAAGTAATGCAAATAGATTAAAGGTGTAATTGTGTTAAGAGTTTAATATGAAACAATTAAAATTTATTAAGAGGGTTTTAAGTATTGACATCTATGGAGTTTATAATAAATATAAATTTTAGATATTACAAAGAAAAAGAAAGTGTATTAAAAAAATTATTGAAATGCTTTAGAATGGAGAAATAAAAATAAGGAAGTATTAGAAAGTAATAGAGTAGATACTTTACTATCTAAAAGATACTATAAATGTTTGTATCATGTATTATGCTAAATATTGGAAAAAAAAAAAAAAAAAAAAAAAAATCTTAAGATTTATTGATGGTAATTTTGTTGGTGAATTGAACAAAAAATAGTCTATTATAGATTAAGTCTTTACAATGGTTGGTGGAATCTTAATCTAGAAATTAATTTGATTTTGTACCAAAGTAATTTTAACTATTAAAGTATAATATATGATTTTTGCAAAACAACCAAAAAAATAATATTTTTGAGAAGATTTGTTATTGAATTTGATTTGGTATAAAATCAAATTTTAATACTTTATGATAGATTTTTTATATATCTTTAGTAAAGAAATTTGTATATTATTCAAAAAAATGAAATAAATAGGTATTAAGCATTATAACATTTAAAATATTCTTGTTGATAGAAAGATTTATTTACAACAAACTTAGAGGTTGATATGGAGCATAAAAACAAGGATTTGTTTATGTCGTTTCTTTTTTTTCTTTTTTTTATTTGCAATAATTTTAGAACATATTATACAACAAAAAAATCATAAACTTAATTCATCTAATGATTAATAATAGTTTAATTATTGCTTATTGCATAAAATTGTAAGTTTCTTATTGTATTCTTTGAACTTAGTATCTATATTTGTAAGAAAATATTTGGATAGCTACTAATAGATTAATAAAAAATAGGAGTTAGTTGTTTGGTATTGAAACCCTTTAAAGGTTGTTAAAGATTATGAGCAAGTCCTTTATTAAATAATATATGGAATATTTTGCAACTTTTGGTAGTATGTAGTAGAAAATATAAAAAAAAATTGATCTTGTGTAGATATTTAAGAAATAAAATTATAATAAAAATAATAAATTTTATTATAATATTTTAATAAAAAAGATAGGTATATTCTAAATAATATTTTTAAAATTTTAATAGATTTAATAAGCATAAAATATTCATGAATTTATACTTTGATATTAATATTTTTTAATATTTTATTAATATTTTATTAATATTTTAATCGTTATTTGATGTTAAATTATTTGAAACAAACAAATAATTTTTATTGTTTCCTATTCTTATATAAAGTGTACACTATTTTATTTAATCACTTTAAATCAATATTTTTGTTGAATCTATAGGAATACTACCAATGTAGATTAAAAAATTAAAAAATACTTTAAATTTTTTATTTCTATTTTAATATTGTCTTACACCTCTCTTGTTTAGTTGTTTTGTCAAAAAAATTCTAAAAACTTGTATGCCAATCTCATCTACATTTCAATATCTAGAGAGTTAATTCTAAATTATTTTAAAATTAAATAAGAATTATAATTTTACATTTTATATGTTGAAAAATTAGTACGTTTATGATAAATGTTGTAGGAGTTAATTTGAAAAAAAATATCTTATTTTTAAGAATTGAGCTTAATTTATACCTAAAAGTGGAACACTTTGACCTCTTGCATGCTTAATTAAAAATGAGCATTTGAAATGTTTTAAGAATGCTTCACTTTTTTCTTTGATTTTTTCATTGTTTCCTACAAGAAACCAAAGTTTAAAAAATATATATGAACTTGTTTAAAAATCTATTTAATTATTCTTTAGATTAAAAATTTATCTATATAAAATTTGGTGCTATTCCTCTAATAATTAAAGAATAAAATTTCAAACTCCAAATGATTTTAAATGGTCTCATATTATTTAACATTTTGCAACTACTCAAATTCTAATACTCAAATTGTACAATTTCTGGAATAGTAAAATTTTTAATTTTAAAAAAAATCACCTTCTTCTCTAAAATAAAATATAAGTACAAATAAAAGCATAATCTTTTTCTTTTGTGAACCATGTATTTGATTCAACAAACAAATCAGTGCTAATTCTTTAGTCAAAACTAAAGTTATTTTATTAGTACCAATTGTTTCCCACCTGCCCAATTGAGCTCAATAATTAGCCTAAAGAGCACACAGAAATATATATATATATATATATATCTATAGCAGATCAAGTGAAACACCAATGAAATGCAAAGAAGGGCAGTGTATGGGATCGTAGTAGGCTGGTTTCAGTCTCAGTATTTGGCTTGCAGCTCCTCCCAACACCACCACAGAACGCAACCTGGCGTCTTAAACAAGAGCAAGTTCTGTTTGGCATTGAAGGCTATGTCAACACACACAGAGATTGATATACTTTATCTCTCTCTCCTTTGACATATACACCATGTTTTCTTTGTACCCAATTCTGATATGCTATTAAATTATACACATTTCATATGCCTAATAACTGAACTCAGCGAATACAACTGTAGAACAGACTTGAAGTAGAAGATGAACACAGAAGAACTTGCTCGCAACACCAACACTGCTTTGTAGGTAGTTTCTGAACAGGAGCAGCGTCGCATGTTCAAAGCATGCTGCCAGAGCTCATGGAACTGTGGAATAGGATGAAAATTTGGGTAATTTGAAAGTAGAAAGGCACGTCGATTCTAAGTGAACTTTCTTGCACTGAATCAGCTTTATTAGTGACCTCAAAATGAGGTACCATTTCTTCAAGCCCTATCAATGCGCAGCCCAGAATCGCTCCCTGCAAGGCAAACGCTGGAACAATTAGGTTTCTGGTGGACACTCAAGCTTGAGTCGTTAACTGAGCATTCTGCATGACGTAGACCTCAGATGTGTAAGGTCGATTTCACTTCCAGGAATATGGTGATCTAAGTCATGTTTGCCACCACCAATTTAACCCACGACGTTCAAATACGCCAAGGTCGGGAATGGGAGTCACTGGCGATTACTTGAGAAAATGCCAGGAATCCGTCGATGGGACCATGATCCTCGATGGTTTTTTCTAGGTATTCCACTGCTACATCCAATCCTCGTGCTTCTGTAAACTCCTGCAGAGGCTCTGCTTCGGAGAAGTTATCTCTTGTGCTCGACAGAGCAGACTCATCGCACTACATTCATTTGTGATTCCCAAGAGGTCAGTGTTTGGATCGAAGGGTTCTATGCAGAGAGACTAGGAAGCACCTTGTTTGCTTGATACCACTCATAGTACGGAGGCTTGAAATCCTTCTCCAGATGTGATGGTCCTGTGGCTAGCCAAGGTGCGTCGACAAAAATCTGCTTCCACCGTGACGAATGGTTCAGGTTCGAGACGTGCCTGTGCCGTAACTAATGAGCCTCAAGATTTGTCTACGTGTGGATCATGAAATCTTTTCAGCTTTAAAGAAAGGCACCAACAGCCGATTTAAGACAGTGAGAAGTCATGAAGAACTCACGTTTCAATGCACGCATCCAGTCAGAGAACGATCCGATTAGAACACCTCAGAAAGGCGAAGATTTTACCAACTCCACAAGATCACCAATCTCTTTCATCCACTTCGCTTCTTCTATCTGCTGACGCAAGATGCAACCGCTTGATCGAAATCCGTGCAAACACAAGAGTCGGAGCTTGTGTGCTGAACTTGGCATCATCCCTGCGGTGATTCCCCGACTCTTCACCTGATGCTCAATCTCACACATTATAAACCCACTAGAAAGCTCGGACGAGAAATCGTCAAATTAGCCAGATAAATACGATATTGTCGGACGAGCAAGGCTCGCATCCAGAAATTTTCAACACTTGCATCCTTCTCTTAATGTGCGCGATCGGAGAAGCAAGCGCTCACGCGCACAACTGATGCCAGTGTTCACAACAATTCTAGTGAAAAATCCCCTTCCCACAAGAGATCCTTTTGATAAAGTTCAGAGTTTCAAGTTTCAACATTGACATTGCGAGGATTCTTTTCGACATTGCTTCATGCTCAAGCACCCAGTGGCTTGTCTTCGTCCCGGCAACGGAGCGACGTCGCTGTTGAAGCCCAACACCCTCAAACAAATGGATGGATGGATGGATGGATGTAAAATGGATGAATACTATTGGATGGATGACGATATGGTTTTGGATGGATGTAATGATAGTCTTGGATGGATGAGTGGTTGGTGATTGTGTGGATGAATGGTTGCAATTCTTGGAATTGCAAACGATATCACCACTTGAACCCGCATCAGCTGACTTCCGGTGAGTGGGTTGCGGTTGTGGATGCAGATAGAGTTCCCTCAGGTGACTTGGAGGTGCAGCATGCCCTTAGGGTAGAAGCTCTCTTGATCATCTTCTTGTTGAGTTTCATGGTAGGCTTAGTTTCAGGCTATGGTCGCTGTTAGTTGCCACTTCTATCTTTTACACTCCCTGAAAGCAAAAAACCCACCGAAACTTTGCGACTACGGGTGATCCGTCAGCAATTGTCCAGTCGGCCTTGTAGAGCCGTTTGAACAGAGTTGGGTCTGCTCTCCGCAAGAACCTACCAGCGAACTCATGTTTCCAGTGCTCATTTGGTGTCCTGTGCTTCGTTATCAGTGTCTGCGCCATCTATATTGCGGTAAGCTTCTTTGGTGGATATGGGGCATAGAAGCGTTAACGGAGTAACGGCCAACACTCTCACTTCACCATCGTCGCCATGACATACGACTCCCGCCTCTGGAACCTTCAGATGTACTTCAAGCATGACTCCCGTTGTACATATGTTTGCGAGATTGTGGTGGTGTGGGACAACTGATACCGTTGGCAGCAGAGATAGAAACAAGTTCAGCTGCATATGGTGTAGAATCATGTAATGTTTGTGCTCTGTGTACATTAGACCTTGCGACTATATTTTAGAGGTCTAGACGGTGGAACCAGAACAGTGACCTAGTTGATTGAACTGGAAGCTCACACAAAAGATCAGAAAAATATGAGCGTTCGGTGATGATGCAATCACAATGACGACAATGAATTAATCAATGCTGTCAGTCATCTTTGCAGGCTGCCCTCTTACTGAAGGCAGAAGCTGAAACTACTCTATCTTGCCCATACTAGTATATTGGATACCAAAAGTATAAATTATCCTCATATAAAGTCTACCTAACTTTGAACTCGAACTTTGTAATGGGTGGCATTGTGGATTGTGTTTTTGTCGTGTGTTACTCTTGATGTTTCATTTGTATCATGCAAAAGTAGAAATTAAAAACCAAAAGAGAAGTAAAAAATCGGTTTTTTATTCATGAAAAAGAAAAGAAAAGTGGTATCATTCTGTTCAAAGCTCTGTCATGTTCCTTGTTGTCTTATACAAAAATTGTAATAACTTTTGAGAAGTCTCATCACATAAAAGATGCTTCTTTGGAATGCCAATGGTAGACATTAGAAATGTTATCTTTATTCTCACGTAAGAATAGAACCTTTGTATGAAGAAAACAAATGCATGATTCAATCCTGAAAATAAAAACTCATGTACATAAATCAAAGTTCAAATTCTACATTAATTTAGTATGCAGCTTAAATTAAATATTAGTAAAATATATGGGTATATATATATATATATATGAAAGGATGAAATAGTTCATTTTTAGTTTAATATATATATATATATATATATATATATATATATATTCTTTTAACCTCCAATATTTTTTGATTGGTATAATAAAAATATCTTAAAATATATTCTAAATACTCACATACTAAGTCCTTAATGCATATACAATTATAATTGGATTTAAACGTATATATTATAAATTTGTATGCATCATTATTAAGACATTTCTTCAACATAGGTCTTCATAATACTAAGTCCTTAATGCACACACAATTATAATTGAATTTAAATGTATATATTATAACTTTTAATGCATCATTATTAAGACATTTCTTCAACATAGATCTTCATATATTTATGCTTGCTATATTCAAAGAAGTTAAGGCCAACTATAAATCAACACATATTGAAATAATCACTTCTTATTGAATAAGTATCTAAAACAATACACATTGAGATTTCATCAAGACGAATTTTAATCCTTAAAAATATTTCAAAAGAATCATTTGATACATTTCTAATACATACTATAAAAATATTTTTATATGTTACAATAATTCATTTTTTTTAATTGATTTATGTATTCTAAACTACTAATGCTATACAAAAATAGTTGCAATAATTAACATCAAAACATGATTTCATATAAAATTATTTATATGCAATCCAAATTATCTATAATATATATTATATATGTGATTTTATTATAATAACTTATTTAAAATTTAATTAATAATTATATTAAATTAATATTTATAGTCTTAAAAGAATATAGTTTTGAAGTCTCCAAATTATATCATAACTAGATTTCTATTGATTGATTTTTATTGACTTTTATTTACTTTTAAATTATTCTTTTTAGATTCTTTCTTTTAAAAAAATATTTTATAATTTTCTTCTAAAATTTAAGTTTTATTCTTTATTTCTTTTTTATTTAAATTTCTATGTTTTTATCCTTAAAAGGTTCCTAAGGTTTAAAAGAACAAAACAAATCACCCACCACCAATAGAAATTAAAAAATTGACTTCTTTGAAATTATTTGTTGTTTTTTATATTTTTTTAGACACTGAAATATTTCAACTTCTACCTCATAGTCTTTTTCTTCTCAATTCTTAAGTTGCATAAAAGGCTATAATAATTCTTTATTAAATACTTTTGTAACTTGAATATTTTTACCATCTTTCTTATATTAAAATATTTTAGTCTTCTTTGAATTTTTCCAAGCCAATTTTTATGTTTAATGTTTCTTTTTGCTTGAAAGTTTAGCTAGTAAATCCAACTCTAATTGCATTAATTTAAGATAATGAAAAATTGTGGAATTAAATTTCTATTATTTTATCTTATTTCTCATCTTTCAATATGCAAAAAAAAAACAATGAAAGTAATTCTAAGAAAGAAACAAATAAAAGTAGAATATTATCATATTAAATCATATGTTAGTTTAAAGACCTTTCATACTCCAACACTTATCTTTGTCTCAATATTGCTTCAAATTTGATTATTCTTGATTTGTTGCAAATCCAACTTGAAAAACTTAAGCACCATCAAACTTTGTAGCAATTTCCTAATTGAGTATTTAGATTCTTTTTCCAAAATTGGATGATTTAGACTACTAAGAAAAGGACTATTCTTCACTTAAACTACTGTGAGAAATTCGTTCCAGTTCTAAATGCAACAATTGTAAGATTATAAAAAAAATTGACTTTAACAAGCTTCTACTTAAAAAAAAATTAAATATTATAAGACAAAATGAAGGAAATCCATAGCCTTCTACCAACAACCTTAATAACTAATAATTAAACTTTATTCATAAAAAATCAACAAAATTTAGATAACATTAGGTTAAAATTAAAGTAAAAATTAAAAGAGATCTTAAGATTAAGCATTCTATTCCAAATTATAGCTATACAAGAAAAAAATTAAAAATTAAAATATAATGCTTGTAATAGAAGAAGAAAAATTATATTTGATTGGAATTAAGAAAGAATAGCTAAGAACCCTTTATTTAAGAGAACTGTTTTTTTATCTATTTATACTCGACATATTCCACAAAACTCAAATAGTTCTTATTATCTATTTAATATTTTAAATATTACAATTTTTAGTTTATTAAAAACCTAATTTAAATGGTTTTAACACTTCTAAAATATTATAACAATCTAAAATATTGTATTTAAATATATGTATAGTTAAGTAATACATATAATTAAATTAATATATATATATATATATATATATATATATATATATATATATAATTTAAGATTCATAAAAATTATATTATAATTATTTTACTTTATATATTTATATTCATTTTAATCTTATGACTTCTTGCTATTAACTCCTAACAAGTTATTTTTGGCATTCTAAAATAAAGAAAGTGTAAACTATTTATTCTTATAGTTTGTTTTGCTAATATTCTATATACCTTAAATATCACTTTAAGACTGCTATTTTTGTTGTTGTTGTTGTTATTTTATTTTTAAATTTATTTATTTTGGATACTATAAAATTCTTTAAATAAGATATTTATAATTAAAATCAAATTATAATTCAAATTTCTCACAAATCAAATGACCTATGAACATTTAGCATACAAGTTGATAAAAATAAAGATGAAATTGATATATGATTTGCTCTTCTTTAGGAAAGATCTTTAAAAAAAATTTTCTTTAAAATATAAATAAATATAATATTTTTTGATTTAATTTAAACTTAAAAATAAAAAGTTAAGTAGATTTGAAAATTTTGAATTAAAAATATTTTTCTATTTTAAGTTAAAATAAATTGTCCACCCAAAAAATATTTGCATAAAATTCGTTCTATAAATATATATCACCAAACATTAAAAAAATAAAAATTTGATATTTAAATATAAAAAAGAAAAATCAAAACATTTTTATTTTAGAAGAAAAATCTACTTTCATAATGCTAACTTGAAAGTAGCTAGAAAGGATTGTACTCTTGCAACATTTGTTGGTGAAAACAACCAGCTTTTCAAAATCCATAAATTTTAAAGATTTTGATACAAGATTTTAAAACCAAGTCAAACAAATAATGTGGTGTTTGATCCTTTTGGACAAATAAAGAATACTATGCACTGGGGCCTTAAGTTAGATGTGTGTACGTTGTTTTATGCAATAGCTTCATGAACAATGTGGAAATTTCTAAATCCTCAAAATCTGTAGAAAACACATAGTGTTTTGAGTTAGGCTCACAATGCAGTAAAAGACATTATGAAGAGGAAGAAAATTAATGTGATTACAGAATGACTTACATACATGGGTTGAAATGCGATGCAGTTTAGCAGATCTATGCAACGAACGAAGAGCATATTCAAATCGAGACCCAAGGAGACTTGGCAAT